ATAATAAAAAGAAGTATTTATATGTGTGTACAAGCTGTTTAGATTGTCCAAAATTCTGTGTTTTTAGGGTTATTTAAGACGTTTGTGTACTTAGACCAGTAATACTTGGGGTCACAAGTTTTTGCCCTGGATATTTTGTGGGTCAGAAGACAAAAAGTTTGGGAACCACTGCTTTAAACTACTTGTCTGTTGTTTTTAATTTCTTGTTTGTGAAAGCACAGTCTGTTAACAAAGGCTGTAGTTTCTGAAGTGGAGTTTTAGCTAACTGAGCAAAAGGTAGACATTTTTTTTCTCTTTAGCATCATCACTAGCTTTTATTTGTTTGTGTCATAACATACTGTGATAATCTGTTCTAGTCCGTTCTTTGTCCTCGACTAACGTCGAGTTCATWTCGCTGATATCTCTATCAGACCGTACTGTTTTCACACGACACAATCTCTTGACCCATAGGAGGATACTTTCTGTATAGGAGAAAAAAACCCTCTATTGAACAACATATATTCTATATTTTTTTTCTCTAAAACGTGTTGCACTGATTGTAAAATTTGTGTCGTCGACGATTCAGGAAACGGCAACAATGGAGCTACTTCTTTTCGAACGGCACCATCTTTTTATCAGGACGTTTGAGAAGATGAAAATTCTCCTAGATTTGGGTCACACTTGTTGTAAAAGGGTGATGGTGGGTCATAAATCCAGACCAGCTGAGAACAACTAAACAGACTGACTGATCGTACGTCCTGGCAGTGTTAGGTTATCATGCAACAACTTCTAGTGGGGAAAAAAAAAGACATTTGTAACGAGAGATTCTGCATTACTCATTTCAAATACCAACAAATGATGGTCCACAGACTGGATGCCGTGAAATGGAGACAGTATATTAATGAATTAGCGAGTTAAGCCCTGGCTAACATTTAAAATGATCTGAAAGACAGGAAAAGTGCTGAACATTAACTTAAATATGGTGGCTTTACTTTCTCGTTTGTTCACTAATGTTTTTGAGGAAACTTGAACATGAAGAGGCTGGGACATAGACCAAAGTGGTTCCCAATCCTGGTCCTCAAGGACCCCTATCCACCATGTTTTACTTGTTTCCCTGCTTTGACACACCTGGTTTGAATGAATGAGTGATTAATCTTCTGAAGACCTGTGTTCCGCAGGTCTTCAGAAGATTAATCACTCTTTCATTCAAACCAGGCGTGTCAAATCAGGGAAACATCTAAACATGCAGGAAAGGAGTCCTTGAGGACCAGGGTTGAGAATCACTGCTTTAACACGTTATCTGATTTATTATTTACAAATAAAGAATCAATGGCTTCCAGAGGGAATACTAAAAACCATAAAACTGAGTCAATATTGTATTTTGAAAATGTCTCATCAAGCTCAGAGAAGCTTTTGAGGTGTTTGGTCAACATTTAAAGCAGTGATCTTTAGATGTTTCCCTGCTCTAACACACCTGGTTTGAATGAATGAGTGATTAACGATCTTCTGAAGACCTGCTGAAGAGCAGGGAAACAAGTAAAACATGCTGGATAGGGGGTCCTTGAGGACCAGGGTTGGGAACCACTGACATCACTGTAGTTTATGTTTTGCTTGGTTTTGCAAAAGGGCGGTCTGTTAGCGTTTCGTCCATCCACTGATCTGCTGATTTGTTTATTTGATAAACATATATTTTAAATGTAAAATAAAGACTGTAAAACAGGGATCATCAATTCCGGTCCTTGAGGTCCGCAACCCTGCATGTTTTACTTTTTTTCCCTTCTCTAACACACCTGATTCAGTCGGTGAATTACCTCCTCCAAATTCTGCAGAAGTCTGATAATCATCTATTCATTCAAATCAGGTGTGTCGGAGCAGAGAAACAAGTCAAGTATGCAGGGCTGCAGACCTCAAGGACCGGAATTGATGACCCCTGCTGTAAAACTACTGTAGGCTGTTTAGTTTTGTAAATTTTTTTAAAATATATTTTAACACGGACAGCGCCATTTTATTTACACACAAAGCATTCTGGGTAAATGACGACGTGGATAGGTCATCGGTGTGGGCGAGCTATATCCACCCTGAAGGTTAATCTTGGACAATATCTGATGATGATCGTCTCTTTTAAATGAAACCAGAGAGCGTTGACAGAGAGGAGAAGGTAGAAATGACTCAGCCTGTAACTGAAAATATGGATGGAGGACAACAGAGCTGCTTCATGGAAGAACTTCAGCCTGTTAGCCTTCGCTCTGGCGCTGACGCTATATTGCCTTTACATGTATTAGCTCAGCGCTAGCGCGACAAATAACAAGCTAAACTGAGGTCCTCCATCCATATTTTCAGTTGCAGACTGTCATTTTTGCGTTCCCCTCTCTGTCATGTGGATGGAGGACCTCAGTGATGAGAGGAGAATGTGTAGCGCTGAGCTAATACATATATATGGTGATAGCATCGGTGCTAATGCTAAAGCTAACAGGCTAAGCTGAAGTTCTTCTTCCATGAAGCAGCTCTGTTGTCCTCCATCCATATTTTCAGTTACAGGCTGAGTCATTTCTACCTTCTCCTCTCYGTCAACGCTCTCTGGTTTCATTTAAAAGAGTCGATCGTCAGATATTGTCCAAGATTAACCTTCAGGGTGTATATAGCTCGCTCACACTGAGGACCTCGCCACATCATCATTTACCCAGAATGCTTTGCTTGTAAATAAAATGGCCCCATCTGTGTAATATATTTTTAAACTTTTAATTTAAAAATTATAAAAACTAAACAYCCTACAGTATTTTAACAGTCTTTATTTTACAGTTTAAATATATGTTTATTAAATAAAGTCTAATGTTACAACTAATCGTGGATCCCTTTAAAGAAATTTCTTGGTCTCTACAAAGCTGCCAGAATCTTAAACTGATTTGTCTTCATATAACGCAGAATATATGCTATACACACATGAGCTCTTCTATACCTTGATCATAATTTTAAGCTAGTAGGAAAGGCTGCCTTTGTTAAACAGTCTTTGATAAACTGAGACAGTAAAGAGAGATGGGGTGGGTAAACATGCACCTTTAAGCAGTTGTATGACTGAACTGTCCTACTGTGCTAAAAGTGATTCCAAAAAGTAAAGAAAAATAAGCAATTCAACTAGACTTCTATTGGTTCTAGATGTTTCGCATACATGTCAACCCCTTTGAACGTTTACCTGTATAATGAGCCTTGAAAATTCATTATTTTCATAAAAAAATCCACATTAATCACTCGCATGCGCACACGGGGTGTAGGCGGGCTGTCGGCTGCAGCAAAATCAGAAAGACATAAGGACGGAAGGACTTGTTTCTAGCAGCAAAAGTGGAAAAGGGTTGGAAAAGGATACTTGATGTTATTGTTTTTTCAATGTCCTACAGGCTCTGACATGTTAAATTTACAACTGAGCTTTTRAAAAAATCWGTAAAACATGAAACAATCTGTGAGATTGCTCTATACGTCTGTATACCTGCAAAATGATGAAAAATCTGTGTAAATTACTGACAATCTGTACAACTTGACAGGTATGGTTTTGCTTCCCATCTACACTAAAAAACAGATATAATGGTTTAAGTTTAAAAAATTGTCAGCTTTTACCACTTAATTGAATTGAGTAAAGGTATCACATTTATTTTACATTTACTTTAAGAATTACTTCTGGGGTTTTTTTTGGTGTAGAAAGCTTTTTTTTTTTTTAAATCAAGACTGAAGTGTGTGTGGTTCCATGTTTTAACCTTCAAGTGAAAGCTTGAGAGATTCCCAGATGGGAAGAAAAATGTCTTCAGCTACAGAGTAGAAGCCTATAATTTAATTTAAATTATTTATTGGTTACTTTGGCAACAGCAACCAGTGTTTACTGAAGTTATGTTGAGAACTAATCGAGCTTGGGCTGAAGCCATGGTTAAAAGAAAAAGTTGACCATATTAACTCTGATAATCCATCGTCTATATTTTTAGTCAACACATAATTGTAATTACTTTTCAGCATCTTCCATAATAACAAATTATGTGTAAAAACATCTAAACCTGAACCCCATATTTGATTAATGGAAAAAAGTAAATTTTAATTTAACACTAATATCAAAGTTAATAGCTCTGAGCTATTTGCTGCCTTCCCCCCTGAGGCTGCCACTATGTGCCACTTGGCCTGTCAGTACTTGTCTGCTGCTACTAAAGACTCAAACCCAGCCTTACCCTGTTGGCCTCCTCCTTCAGTTTGATAGCTACATCTCTGGTGTCCAGCAACCTTGCAATCAGAGCTTGCTACAGCTGCCTTAACAACAGGAACAAGGCCTGTTTGAACTCACTGTTCATTCTCCCTTCGAGACACAGTCAAAGTTCTGCCAGTGGTTGGATTTAAAGACCAACCAGACTGGTTTTTCCATCAGACGCTCCTGGCAGRCTCTCAACACCTGCCTTAGTCTGCCATGTCTATGTGGTGTCTTACCCTGCCGGCTGTTCCAACTTACCACAAGGTGCTGGTCAGTTGACATTTCTGCACCTCTCTTTACCCAAGTGTCAAAAACATAGAATTGCAGACCAGTTGACGTAACTGTAAAGTCAAGCATCAAGCTGAGATCTACGATATCCTTACGCCAAGTACACTTATGGACATCCTTATGTTTAAACATGGTGTTTCCTATAGACAAAAGACAGAAGTCCAATAACTGTACATCACTCAATTTCAGATCAGGCAGGCTGTTCCTACAACCATGCCCCTCCTGATCATAGTGTCATTGTCAGTGAGATTGTTGGAGTTCCCAGTGAGGGCGCTGTCTTGCATCCATCCCAGGAACTTCAACAAGGGCTGGTATTCTTTACTGACGTTTGGCACATTTGTGCAGACAAAAGTCAGGAACTGTTCCCCAACTCAAAGAGGCAGGGATGCTACCCTTTTGTCCACTAAGGCAAGCCCCACAGTACAAGCAGAGAGACTGAGGATGTTAGGAAACCTCACCCCGGACCTCTGCTTTTCACTCAGCAAATCCAGCAGAGGAAAGTCCTTCTCAAGGACTTGACTTCAAGAGCAAATACTGTGTGTTGAAGTAAAACAGACTATATCTAGCTAGTATTGCTTAACCTCTTCCAGTATCTCTATCTGGTGGACAACCAAGAAAAAAAAAGACATTGATTAAAGTTCTCTGCCGCGGTGTCCGTTATTTGTAAAAATGAAAGGGAGAAAAAACTTRGTAAAGCCAAACAGAACACTAAACTGTAACTTTTAATAAGGTCATGTACACAAGTGAAAATGTTTGTCCTATGAGCAGAAAGAAGTTTATGAATGTTGGGTAACATTTAGATTTTGTTAGCGACATTTTTGCTGCTTTATCCCTGAGCCTTAAACTCTCTATTTCAAAGAAGAGAATGAGGAAGTTTTATTCACGCAGATCCTGTCAACCTGGCGGACTGACAACAATTATATAATAATAAACTTTGTCTACAGAACAATATACTTGTTAAATTAAAAATTTCTTGAGATTATTTTGGACAACCAAAGTGTTTTGCGGACAACCAGATTTTGTCAACAGGTTGTCCGCTGGACAACCTGAAAAATATCCTTATGTCTACCCCTGCAAAGTTAATTCTAAATTGTCCCCAAGTGTGAGTGAAAGTGTAAATGGTTGTTTGTCTCATTTGTCTATGTGTCTCTGTGATGGACTTGCAACTACTGTAGTTCAGCTTGTACTCCACCTCTCATACAATAACTTCTGGAAATAGGAATCAGCTCTCTTGTTAACTGAAAAGGAAAAAGTGGTTAACTAAGACAGATGGAGGGATTGATAGTAACCTGTATTTCATTCAATAAAAAGCCAGCAACTGAAGAGTATTTTCATAAAAACAATTCTGGCCTCTGAGCAAATTTTGTTCATGATTCCTGACTTTTATTACTGCTGATAGCGTTTGTCTTGTAAACAGCCACCAGCTGACAGCACGGTGGTGGAAGGCTGATGGTTTGGGACCTGGGCACCTTCATTCACCGAGTCGACCATGAGCTTTTTCGTAGATCAAAGAATTCTAGAGTCAAATGTGAKGCCACCTGTCTGAGAGCTGAAGCTTGGATCAGACTGGGCCATGATACAATAGAACAATGGACTGCATGCAAGAACATGTTCGTATTCTTAACCTAAATTTCTCTTACTTTTGTTCGTACGTAGGGTTCGTACAAACATGCCACGTCAGATTCAACAAACTCTTCTATCTTCAGGAAAAGGGTGTAAATGAGCTGCGTAAACATGGTGAATTCCGCCTGTTCATATCCAGCTGCTCGTGCACACGGAGAGCATAATTACCACCCCAAAAACACCATATAAGGCTTTGTTTCCTGCCTCAGATATCAGGAAATG